GGGCTCTGGGAAAGGCTAAGCGAATGGCCACTGGAAATGGTCACTGCCATTACCAAAACCCTCAGGCCCCTCCTGAGAACGAGGGAAGGCAGGGACAGCTCCTAGCAGAAAGTGTTGAAACATAGAGGGAACACAAGCTTTCCTAAGGTCACAAGATGAGTCAGTCGCAGACAAGTAATCTGTCTTTGCCTCAATAAATTTTCCTACTTAGTGAGTTTGGACAGCTCAAAGACAGCTTTAGTGCAAACAAACAAGCTTGTCCACAGTTGAACACGCTAGCGAGAGGTAGCACACTCTGGCCCAGGGTCATTTCCTCCTCCCTGTTTCTATAAAAAGCAACCCCAGAAATTTTAAGCCGCAGCAGAAGCAATTAACAGACCAAATACTGGAAGCCTATTTCAAACAGAAGGCAAAGATTTCATGTGAATGCTGCCCCCCACGTGCCCCTCAAATTCAGCTCCTTCCCTTCTACCATTCTCTAAAAGTTTCCCAGACAACTCTAAATAATTCAGAAGATGCTAAACCTTTCCTTCCCTCCAGTGAGTAAAACTTTGCTCCATAGCTAGCTGACAGCTGCTGCTTCTCAGTCTCTCGGGACGAGTTCTCTCCCAGAACGCACCTCCGTCCGTCCATCCTGCGGTGGAGCTCTTGGTAGACCTGCCGCAGGACTTCCCAGACATGTTTGGACAGGGCAGAACCCTACATATGGAGCCAGCTTGGGATCAAGGGGAAAAAAGACCATAAATATGAAGTACCTAGCATAGTACCTGCTCAGTAAATGTTGGATTTTATTCATTACTACATGGGCAATTCATCAAAAACCTTGTTTAATCTAAATGTTTCTTTTTAATTTAATTAAGAGCCTACCGTCATGGAAGTAGGCACTGGGCTAGTCCCTATAGAGAACAGTAAGATAAATTTAATTTGATTTCTACCTTTAGGAACTACAGAATTTAGGGAGGAGACACACAGGCCAGCATAGTAGAGTGAAATACAATGCCTGTCAAAGGAAAGTATGGACAAAGGTCTGGAGGATCATTGAGGAGAAGAGATTCCTTCTCTCTAGTGAGATGGAGCAGGTAGCACAAGGTGGAGTCTGAAGATTGGGTGGGAAGTCTGCTGTGGAATGTGGCAGCAATGCCACTCCCCAGGCAGGGAAGGACCTGGGGCGGAATAGGGCAAGCCACACTCAGGGATAGTTGGCTGGAAAGAGAGGTGAGAGGAGGAATGAGAAACAAGGCTGGAAAGGGAAGCTGGGGCACATTCTTGATGGCTTTGAAGTCAAGAAAGACCAGTTAGAGGGCTACATTAGGCATCCGCATCTGACCATAACTGCTCGGACCAGAGTGGTGGCCATGAGCAGCAAAGGGAGGGAAGCAGCCGCAAGCCAATGCAAGTGCATGCGGTGTGGTGGGTATTTGGGAAGTGGAGGAGGCCTGAAATAGCTGCCTCCCCTGGGGTGAGGGCTGGCACAAGGCCACAAAGGGTTAGTGACATTGCTCTATATGTCCCTTCTCTCTAATAGGTGTGTGTTTGGAGCTTCTGTCATAAATCTTGCCCTGAGTACTATCTGGAGACAGGGCTTCATTGGAGGACAGCTGCACATCTAATTTTAGGTTCATGCTGGAGAAGTAGGGCAGGTCTAATCTCCACAGGAGGGGCGAGTCACAGTGACACAACACGGGGCATCTGCTCCCACAAAGCCATCCCGGAATAACTCTCCATAGCTTGCTAGCACTGGGAGGATGACACCCAGTAGGGCTACCCTGTCCTGACATGGACTTCGTCCCCTTCCTGCAAGACTCCTGAAGCCCACAGGTTCAGGCATCTGAGTGGAGTGGAGCAGAATTCATTTGGGTGTGCACCTTGGTTACTATTTTCAGGATGGAGTTCAGGAGAGAAAACAGGACTGGGCAGGAAGTGCTCCCCTTCACGTACTTCCCTGGCCTCTGCATCCTGCTCTGTGGCGCAACCAGATACAGCCAGCAGTATTCGTACTAATAGCGATCAACAGTGTGATAGCCTGTCAAAGCTCACAAGGTTTTTGCACGTTATTTTTTAACGCCCACACAGACCTAGGAGGTAAGACTTGATATTCATGCTTTAAGAAATTTCAAAGTTCAGTCAAGAAAAGTCAAATGACTTGCCAGGAAATCAACTAGAAAGAGGGCGACAGTGCAGGTCGTTCAGTTTCAGCACCTTCGTTCTTATCCTGCTGCTGAGGCGTGAGGGTAAGGTAGAAAACAAGGTAGCTTTGGGAAAGAACTCAAAAGCTTCAAAAGCAGAGGGAAAAGATATTTAGCCTTTGAGAGGAAATAGCCATTCCATTGAGGAGAAAGACTCCCCTATCATTAAGCAAATTGTTCCATGGATATGAGCCATTTAGATGGTAACAGAAATTTAAGCAAACTTTAACTGCTTATGATTGTCTTACATATGATGGTTTTAGAAATAAAATGCTGGTAATAGACTGTGTAAGATACTCCAGTGGTGGCTTAAGAGCTGAGGCTCATGTATCAGACACAGTTTAAATCCCAGCTCTTTCACTTAAAACCAGAGTGTCACTTAACTTCTCTCAGTTTCAATTTCTTTTCCTGTAAAATCAGGGACAGTAATAGCACCTGCCTCACAGAGAAGAGGAGAAGCTCGAAGGAGATAATGCATCTTAAGAGCTTAGCACGGTGCAGGGCACCTAATAAACACCACGGCAGTGACAGCCATATTGTAATGGTTGGAGAAAAAGCCTCTCTTCCGCAGAGGTTTGGTTTCAATTTGGCATCTGGCTGAAGAAGGGGAACCATCTTGCCCAAAATGTACAGGACAAACCAGACATGCAGAATATGCCTGAGGTCCCTGAAAGGCTCTTTTTGTTGTTGGAAGCCCTCCACTTTCTTTAATCCCTGGCGCTACTTTCCCATTTTCCTCTGGCACCCTGATCAGATCTGCATCTGAATTCAACTCCTTCTGCAGGAGGAAAAGAAAGAAAGAAAGATAGCAACTAGTGTGAGTCTCTGAGAAGGAGGCTTCTCTGTTCTGTTGCTTGGCCTGAATGCGGAAGACCATAAAAGCTATCAGGACCCCAGAAGGGCGGGGGCTAGTGCCTTGATATCCACTATTGGCTGGAAAGGGCTTCCTAGGAAAGGCCACCAAACAACATGGCACTCAACTGACAAGGAAGAGATGACTAAGTAAGACTCGTATGTGGATGGGCCCAGCAGACATCACACAGATTTTCACATAATGTAGGGAAGCAACCAGATATTCCTGAGCTTTTGAACAGCTGAGTTATGACAGCACCATAGCAGAAGAGGCCTTGTGAATAGGACAGAAAGATAAAGTTCATGGATTGGTGACCAAAGTTCATGGATTGGTGACCAAAGGACACATTGAGACTGCAGATGTCATCAGCAAAAGCCTGCACACATGACAAAAAGGTGACATGTTCAAGTCATACGCATCCAAATGGACACGAGATGAGTGAGGACAAACTGTGCTTGTCTATTGACACCTTGGCACTACCATAGCTTCTCAGAACTTAGATGCCCCAGGAACAGAGGGAGAGGAGTGAAAACCCTGAATGAATCAATGAATCACGATTCAACTTAGATTCCTGATAAAACACTGATTTATTTTTTTGCTACCTGGCATAAATAGAAGTTTAAGACAGAAATAAAATATAATTACAAAAAAATTAAGAAATTTAATTTTTTTTTTTTTTGTCCCTGAGTTTGTTACTCTGAAGTCTTATACCTACTAGATGAAGGGTCCTTGGTAGGACTTAACTGAATTCCACTTGACAATAAATTCACACTGCAGAGGAGAGGTTTCAAAACTGAGATACACAGAGCGTTGACCCACACTAAAAAAGGCAGTCTCCACAAAAAAAAAAAAAATGTTCCCTAGCCAAATCAGTTTGAGAATAGAATATACTACAGAATCCCAATATTGGGAAATCCCATAACCCTGAATATCTTAGATATTCTCAATATGTGTTGGCTTTACAAAGGCTCTGAAAAGTCTTATAGTAAAGAAACCTATCTAAATTTGTTCAACACAGTGTTTCCCAATTTATTTGATAAGACTTTTTTTTTTTTTTCACTGAAATATAATATATTTCACTCTAGCAAACGCTGGTGTAGAGAACTGCAGGTGAGAATGGATGATAATGGCATCACTGTGGTGACCCAAGAGAAAAATAATCAGGTGGAACATGAGCCTAAGATTGATGCTAGGATGCAGAAAATATCATGGCTGGGCATGGAAATTCTGCTTGCCAAATGACCCCATATATCTTAGAAATTGTCTGAATTTCTTCTAATATTCTTTCAAGGTCCTAGCTGAGTCACTCCCATAAATGATGGATCTTAATGGTTTGAATATCTCTAAAGCCTTCATGTCTAACCATCTCCCTTTTTAACTTGGTGATTCATGCCACTTCAGCAAGCACAGGCAGAGAGAATAGGCTGAGTTTCATTTTCCAATCATAAAAATATATCTCAAGTCCAGCACACAACCATGATGGACTATTATAAGGCCCAGATCTCATTTCAGAAATTTAACTGGCTCACTCTTTAGAGACTCGGTCATTTCTGGACTGTCTTTTGAGAAATATACTCATTTATGGTAGATTTGCTGTGAGTAAAATGTCTACACCTAAAGGCTCCAAGCAAACAAACATGGGGTTTTGAGTATGAAAACTAGATTCAAATCTCAGCTGTACCATTTCCTAGCACCACGACCTTGGATAAGGCTCTCTCCACATTTTAGCTTCCTCTTCTGCAAATGAGGATACTAATAAACCCATCCAGGGTTGTTGTGAAGATTACAAGAAATGACTCATGGGTGGGAAGAGATGTAAGCTGAGAAGGGATAAAGTCATATCTCCAAGGGGGAAATCATCACTAAACTGAACTGGAAACATCATGAAAATATGTTTGGAGCCATCTCCATCTCTCCGTCTGTTACGAAGAAGGCAGAAGTACTATGAAGGTACTCCATACCTGATCGTTCGGGTACGCTTTTGGGTATAAGGAGTAACGATGTCAAGTATCAGTTCCATCGCTCCATTAATTCCCAGCATGGCTCCTGTGGTAACTGAGAAAGATAAAAGCACAATAGTTATGGTCACAGGTGGGTAGGTTAAGGTGCAACTTGGATTGGCTTCTTTAAAACTATAAGGGGCAACCTAATAAACAAGACAGTGCCCTTTCTTTTCCAACCTGGTTGCAAGTTCCCTTACAGCCCCACACTTGGATCTCCCATAACTGAGGCAATGACTTGACTATGCCTCCTTTACAATGTCAAAGGAAGAATCCATTCTTCCTGCTCAGGGGTAACTAGCCTGGGAAATTTTTTTCCTTTTTGCCCAATTGGATGGTTATAAAAACATAGTGATAGATCTGAATGATAGAAAGAAATTCAAAAGGGGTATCTGATCAGATCAATAAAGCCTCTGGATGTCATTCTCTTTTCCAAGGAGGCCCCAGGCTCTCTTCAATATCCCCAATATGCCTCTCCACTCAGCTCACCTTGGGAAGAGCTCTGGTCATGTCAAAAAGTAAGAGGAATGCACAGGACACAACATGGAGCCAGGCTAGCAGGGGGCAAATGTTTCAGTGGGAGAAGGAAAGAGAGTTGTGTCTTCCAAGGTGTGAGTCTCTTCTCTCTTTCTTCCACTACACTGGCATTTTTAAGACAAAAACCTAGAAATGCTTTGTGCTTTGGGCCAACCTTGTTCTGAGAAAAGTGGGTGGAAACAAGAGGTCTCAGAGAAGCAAGGAGAGAGAAACAAGGGTGGAGAAACAGGGGTGGCTATACTGGCTGGCTCCAAGCCTCAGGAAAGTAGCTAAATGGAAATTTGGAGGCTTTGATATCACTCATCCCCATACAGTCCATCAGGTAGAGACTGAAGCTGAAGTCTTAGCTGTGACAAAGAGTGTACACTCCTGGAACATCCTCTGTGCATATGTTCCTCCTGAGGTGAGAACAGGCAATAACTGCCTGGATCAAAATTCAGGGATTTGGCATCCTAGTCCTGCCCATCAATCTTCCACTCTTATGGCTACTAACTCAGTTCTTACTTCTAAATTGGGAAAACATACCAAAGCAAACTCTTGGCAAATAATTCAACAAAATTCTGGCCTTGAGTTAGGGAGGTGATAGTTTTAAGAGCACCAATTCTAACATGGAAGACTTTAGGCTTGGAAGTGGGAGAAGATAACAGTAAGAAATCCTCCCTGAGTTCGCCCTTGCTAGATGCCTGTCCAAGGTTAGGTCTCTGGCAGTTTCATGCATACTCTCATTGGCCATCTGAGAGCTTCCAAAGGGTTCACTGGCTATCAAAGACCCAATATGGTCCCAGTCAACTCCTGAAGATAGAAGCTGTTTAGAAAGCTTTCTGGGACATTCAACAGTGGCTAGCAATTCACTGAAGCAACAGTAACCCACAGGCTTTTTGAACTCGGCTTGCCTCTCATCAGGAAAGTCAATGTATAGAGAGTGACAGCGTAATTTTTAAAAATATCTTATGAAACAGTTAGTTGGTACAAATAAATGTAGCTTAGAATATGAGACAAATGGCCATCTCCTCCCACCCTCAAGCACATCCCAGGATTTCTCAGAGATCCAGCTTAAGGAATTTCTCTAAATCTCCATAGCCACCCTATATTGTAAGGAAGGTAAGTTATTCAACCTAATGATTCTTTAGGAAACCATGAGATACTTCAAACCTTGTGCTGTTGGCAAGCTCCAAATGGGGGTGGCACACCTTCTGTCTACTCATTAATGAGAGGTGTCCTTTATACAAAGACACAGCTTCCCTGTTCTTTTATGAGAGATGGGTTTGTACATTCGGTCTCTCCCAGATACTCTTGGATTTTCTGGTCAATGTATCTGAAACGGGTGATGGAGGCTCTGTCTGTGAACAAGAAGTCAGGAATCTCTCCCATTATTTATTCTCCAGAAAGACTTTCTCGTTAAGGACCCTCCGTGTTTATGAATAGAATTAACCAATGAAATTCAGATTAGTTTAGTAGTTCCTAGGATAATTAGGAAAAGGTTACCTATTTACTTCCCATATGCATAGTCATCCTCTTATTTCAAAAGACCAAGGGAAAAGAGCAGGGCAGGGAAAGAAACTGACCATCATCGAGCAGTTTCCATGTGGCAAGCACACCCATGAACATCATGCTATTATCCCATCTGCCAAGGCTACAAGTGCTGCGTGGGCTGCATTGCGTCCCCTCCAAAATTCATATGTTGAAGACCTAACCCCAAATACCTCAGAATATGACTGTATTTGGAGACAGGGTTTTAAAAGAGGTAATTAAGTTAAAATTAGGCCATTAGCATGGGCCCTAACCTAATCTGACTTGTGTCCTTATACGAAGAGGAATTTTAGACACACAAAGAGACTCCAGGGATGCACAAACACAGAGGAAAGACCATGTGAGGACACAGGGAGAGGACAGCCATCTGGGAGCCAAGGACAGAGGCCCCAGGAGAAACCGAACTTGCTGGCATTTTGATCTCAGACTTTCAGCCTCCACAACTGTGAGAAAATAAATGTCTGTTGTTTAAGCCACCCAGATTGTGGCCTTTTGCTATGGCATCCCTGGCAGACTAATAGTAATAATTATTACTACTATAATTTTATAAAGGATGAAACTGAGGTTAAACAGGTTAAGTGCTCATGTTACATGACTCATAAGAAATAGAATCAGAGTCACACTCAGATCCTTCTGGCTCTAAGCCCATGTTCTTTCCCCTACAGAGTATATTACATCTAAATAATTGTCACTTTCATCCCACAGGAAGGGGGCTCTCGAAGGAGAAACGAAAGTCTGTGCTCATTACATGTGAGATAGGAGGTATAGAATCTATTAATAAAAAGTATCTCCATATGGAGCAGAATTGACATGAGTGTTAGAGTTAGAAATTCAGCCCTCATGACTTTTTATCTGCATGAATTCAAGCAATTACTTCACTCTTCTAAGCTTATTTTTCTAAGCTGTAAAATTGTGAGTCTAAATACAGAATTGCTATGATAATTAGAAATAATCCAAATTAGGAGATAGCAAATACATATCAACCCACATGCTATGATGTACCTGGTAGTTACCTGGAGGACCCTGTTGAAAAGGATCATGAGATTGAAAAAAAATGGTAAAGGATGTTGTAATCAATGAGTAACTTCAGGAATATAGCAGAGAAGTTTGTGATGGGAGGGTCATTCTTGACAAATGTAATACACATAACACTGTGCCTTGAATATGATAAGGACTGAATAAAGTCTGCTCTTCCGCTGTCATAGGTCGTTTGCACGGTGTAGCACTAATAGAAAAGTTTAGAGTGCTATCCTATGTGACTCCCAAGGAAAAGCAATATCAAAATCTGTCTCCAGGAAAGGCTCAAGACTTCCATCTGGCTAAGGGGGAGAAGAATAAATAACTTCTCACCTCCAGAGCCTCCGGATGGTCAGACTCCTTCATATATCTTGTCTGGACCACATATATCCCCCACCCACATCCTCCTTCCAAACAGATGCCCACATGGTTTCCAGGTGCCCCAGCCCAGGTCTCGAAGCCAACCCAGGGAGCCTCAATAGAGCCACTTACCGCTGGAGGCAAACACACGCAGGGCCCAGAGACAGTGGAGGAGGTTCTGGCTATCACACAGGTTTTTCCTGGCCAGAATCAATGTCACATCAAGTGCTTCCAATTCCAGCGCCTTCTGGCCAAACTTTTTATCTGAGGACACAAATCAATCTATCTTAGTTGTGTGGTACATTGATTCTGAGGGTTATACAAGGCGTGGAATAGATGAAGGGGAAGATGGTGGAGGGAGGAGGATAATCATAGCCAAAGACACTTTTCAGACATATTTAGTAAAAAAAAAAAAAAAAAAAAAAAATTGCCTCTAAATATGTCCCTACTGGAACCAAATGAATCAGAAGAGCTAATTCGGGCTACACATATTTACATGAAGGCTGGTGGGTTGTATGACTCTTAAGCCCCTATATTTAGGTTGTCCTCATACGTGCACTACAGTTTAGTTGGGAATAAAGTTCTTCCTTTAAGAAAAGTCTAGAGTTAGGATACTTATGTAACATGACATACAATGCAGTGTGTGAACTTTGATTGGATCCTACTTTGAAAATGTCTGTAAAAGACGACTGGGAACACTTGGAGAAATTGGAATGGATATAAATTATACATGTATTTTTAATTTTATTAGATTTGTAATTGTCATTATGTAGGAAAGCATCTCTTCACAAAGAAATGCACTTGAAAAATTTAGGAGTAAATGCCCTTTGTAATTTTTTTAATATTTTAAATAAAAATAAATAGGTGAAGGAAATATGGCAAAATGTTAACAATGGTTAGATCTAAGTTTTAGGAATATAAGAGATTTTCATAATAAAAAGTCAAAAATATTTTAAGAAAATTAAATTTTCTCTTCTAATATCTCTAAATCATTGTTCCAAATAACTTGACACCTACTGTTACAGATAAGTCATTATTATCTTAATAATTAGAAAATAAACATAAAAAGCAGGGCAAAGCACCTCTTATTCTGTGTTCCTTGTTCCCACTATGACACCAGGTAACTGTGCTACCAGTCACATTTGTTTGTGTCCTTTGCACAGTGTGATGCCCAAGTCATCCCGTTTGTTTTGGCAGGAATACATTTCGATCAGATGTATCGCAGGTAGAAATGAGTAAAAGAGAGACAATATCCTAAACCTGGTTTACCAATATTTACCTCAAAACCAAAGGACACCAGCAAAGAGTTCATGACTAACCCTACATGACCCATTCCCTTCATGAGGAAAGAGATATTGATTTTGTCTGGGACAGGAGCTGACTGATGCCTGGTCCTCAGTCATTATCTATGGAATGTTGAGTGGATTCAAAGTAGAGATACAGACAGTGAAAGGAAAGAGTGCTCCAGAGTCCCTGGGCCCTTGGCTATAGCTGCTAGCATGGGACATCAAAGGTCCACTTTCAGAGGATCCGAGCTTCTCATTTGTGACCTATATAAGACTCAGCACACCACTGGAGCTTAACTATTATGACCAGTTTGCAAGGCCTGCATGAGTCCTGCGTGCTCAGGTTTTTAAACTGTGCTCCAAGAAGTTCTAGGTGTTTCAGGATCTTCCATGGGGAGAGAGTAATGACTCTGTAGCCTAAGTGACAAGAACTCTAGGCCCCTCCCCCATCTTCCTTCCAACTAGGGATGCTCCACTTCTGTGTGACTTATTGTAGTGGATTGAACCGTGGGCCCCCAAAATCCATGTCCACCCAGAACCTCAGAATATTATCTTATTTGGAAACATGGTCTCTGATGATTAATTACTTAACATTACGTCATACAGATTAGAGCGGGCCCTAAAACCTATGACAGACGTCCTTATACAGAGAGGAGAGGACACAGTGGAGAACGCCACGTGAAGATGGAGGCAGACACTGGAGCGATGCAGCCACAAGCCAAGAAACACCAAGGATTGCTGGCAGCCACCAGAAGCTAGAGGGAGGCATGGAGCTGATTCTCCCTCAGAGCCTCCAGCAGGAACCAACCCTGCCAGCACCTTGATTTTGGACTTCTGATCTCCAAAATGGTGAGAGAATAAATTTCTATTGTGTTAAGTCATCCACTTTGTGACAATTTGTTACAACAACTCTAGGAAACTACATACGCTTATATAATGAACTTTCATGTCAGATACAATTGTAGACATGTTCCATTTATTTTAAAAATGATTAAAAACTGCATTGGAGTATCTCCCCTCTTTCCCCCAATGTGGTCCATATCCCATGTAGCCCATTCCTGCTCTGGGCTCTTTCCTAAGCACTATACCTTGGATTAGGTGACATCTAGGTCAACAAAATTACCCTCCTAGGGGCTGGTCCTGCCATCACCACCAAGGTGTCCAGAACTTTCCTGCCACTTCCTCCCTGTTCTTCCCCACCAGAGCTTCCCCAGTTATTTGCATGATAACAACCCCAGAAGTGCCTTTTCAGTCATCTTGGGTCTTGGAGTATGGGTACCTCTTAGGCCAACTTTGGCCAGCAGCCGGAAGAGAGGCAGGAGGATGTCATAGTCTGGAGGCACTGTCCTCGCTGTGTCCACCAAGGTCTGCAGAAGGGCCTCACTGCCACCCTTGCTAATCATGTAGTGGATCCTCCGGTCTGTGCCTGAGGGGGAACCCAGAGGAAAGATGAACCACATATAATAACCCTCATTTTCCTTGCAGTGAAAGATAGACCTCACAGTTAGAGACAGAGCAAAGATCGTTTCATTTCATTCCAGAAACCAAAATTGTGTAGTTCTTGAAGTGACCTGGGTTAAAGTTGTGCTATTACATAAGAGAAAAGGGGTGTGAAATGGGAAAATAGTGTAATACTTAAGAACCTGGGTATATTCACCTGCAGCAGCTGTAATAAATAGAGCCTAGAATCTACTTAACTGAGAATCTGTTGCATTTTCAGTGTATGTGTCTGTACATGTGTGTAAATATGCATAAGGCTTATGTATGCTTAATAGAAGAGGGAGTATCAATATCCCTTTGCTGTAAGTTTAGATCATCCGTAACAGTGTTTGGGATGATAGCCTCGTCTGGAATAATTTTATTAATGGTATAATGATTTTCTGTTGCTGGCCTTCAGAAACTGATGGGAGAAAAATATGGAAACTACTGAAGTATACCCTTGAGAAACAAACATCCAATCATCCTGTGTGGGGAATTCTGAAGAGGGTCTGGGCTATGATGAACTATTGATCTTTCTACCTAAGAACAATTTTGAACTGAGACCTCCTCCACCTTGCCCAAGGATAAAAGCAGTGATTACATTTCAACTTGGCCCTGGGTGATTCTCTATGCACTAGGCATGGTTGACCTAACCAAGGTGGCCAGCAGGTTGGACATTATCAAAGACGACTCTCTGAATTTTCATCCTCATAAAAAGCAGCACTCTCTACAAAAGGAGCAGTTATCACCACCTGTGTCGGAGGGAGAACTCCAAGGTTGCATTCTAAGAATTTCAGACATCTCTGGACAAATTGAAGACAGCACTACCCCAGAAGACAAGCGGCTTCACCTACACAGGTGAACTCACTCAAAAGACTAGAGGGAAGTCACCTCACTAGTGGAGGGCACCACAGCCTACGGAAGGACCCCTTCCTCTTAAAACTGTGCCCTTGAGGCTCTATGGCTTTGAAGTGTCATTTATTTTTGGTGTTACTATTTCTTTCTAATACAATGTGGCCAGCATACATAGAAATGCAAATTGAGTGAATGCTGGGATGACCCACAACCTCAGAAAGAATCTGATGCTCCAGGTAACTCAGCTGATTCCAGTGTAGTCAATTGTGTCATCATATCTTCACAACCTTGATGCTTACCATGCCTCCAGGTCCAGCTCCTGCCTCATACTCCTGTCTCCACCTGACATATGCAAGGGAGCTGCCAACATCTGACTCTCTTAAATGAGCCACAATGGAAGGGAGGAGAAAGAGGAAACGTGTAGAACCACTGAGGGGTAAGCTGTCCCTCAGGAGAACTCAGAGGTGGGTGGGCATAGGCCTCTGGAAGTCCTTGGCCTCATAGATGAGAAACCACAGAATAACCACACAGAGGCTAATTCCCTCCTAAGTTTGGGTCACTATAGGGTGGGTGACTAGACTGAAAGACCCAACAATTGGCCCAGTTTATTCTGGATCTTATTAAGCTTAAAGAAAAAAGACAGGCTAATGAGTCTGTCTGTGATAGGAAACTGGAGCTAGAGCAAACTCCCAGCCACAGAGGTTCTGGAAAAGACTGCAGCCGGCACGCTTCCACATCCGCCAAGTGCGGGGATGAGGGTGTATCCTACTCACCAACAGAAAGCAGGTCTCCGAGGACCTTGAGGATGGTCAGGATGGATTCTCTGTCAGAGGAGCTCTGCAATGAGAACAGAAGCAGACATCTTTAAGAAGTAACACAAGAGGAAGAAGGAGAATGGTCAGGGACACACGTGGAAATGGCAGGACTGTACTTCCTCCCATGGAGAAGGACTTACTGCAGCAAAAGGATGCATGAGGGGATTCACTCAATAAGGGATCCAGGGGCTGTGCCTCCATATGCAGTCTTCAGACTCCTCTTTGGGGACCTATCTTCTGATAACGTCGGCAAAATGAACACAAGAATAAGCAATGATAATGTACACAGAAAACAAGCATGGGAAAGGGTGATTTGTGGACACAGTTCTGTTATTTCAGTAGGCTTGGATTATTTTTTAAATTCAGGGAAGAGGTATGAAACAGAAATCCACCAAAATGTTCTCATGGAAAGACTTCCCAGACCAATAAGAATGAATTTTTATTTTTCTCAAGAGAAGCCCAGGGTTCTCTTGTTATGGTGATGTTATGGTGATCTTCGCTCCAGGGAATCTTGGCAATGCTTGACATTTTACCCCTTGTTATGCAGAAGAGAACCCTGAGTTCCAAGACAGGGAGGACTTGCTGAGTCCCCAGAGGTAATCCATATACCAAAGCCCAAAGTACAAGCCAGGCCACACTCCTGAAAATCAGGCCAGTGCCCTTTGTCCTGAAAGGTATTAGGAGTTGGTGAGGGAGACATTATTTAAGGCAAAGCCTTAGCCTTTCCATTAGTAAGACTCATACTCTTCATCTGCTTCAAAGACCTCAATAATTCCCCATCATATAGGACAAAGTCATAGCTCATTAATAGGATTTCCAAAGCTCTTCATGATCTTGTCCTGCTTATGTCTCCAGCTTCGTTATTCATTACAACATCCTATCCAAAACACATGCTTTGGCAACATGGAACTACTTATAGTTTCCTGCTCAAACCATGACACTTCTTGCCTCTGGAGCTTTGATCATACTATTACCTCTTCCTGAAGCCCTGTTCCCTAACTCTGAGCCTGATCAATGCCAGCTCATCCTTTCAGGGCACTCTGGCCCCACAGATGGCCACCTCACCCACAGGTTGGGTCTGGAGTCCCTTCTGTCTCCACATCACTCTGGGCTCAGCTCTGACAGCGTACTTACCATGGCATTGGTATCTTGCTACAATTTCACTCCCCACTCCACCCCCACTAGGTATTCAAATGTTTAAAGAAGGAACCAAGTTGCATCCATATCTATTTCCAGCATGGGGCACAAGGGCTGTCAGAGAAGGTGTGCAATAAATATTTTTTGAGTAGAACCAAACTGAACCAAAAAGAACCCTAAAGGGGCCATGAAGCCCAACACCATGTCCCAAGGCAGAAGGGTGTTTATGCTTTCTTCAGTCTTATTTTTAAGACCCTCCAGGAAGTTGACTTCAAAACCCCAGCCAGGGCCACTTGCCTCAGTGTAAAATTTAAGGAGACATCAACTAACGGACGCGGTGAGCGTTGTAGGGGTGAAAAGGCACACCTCAAATCATGGTTTGGATGTGGCAAAGTCATAACATGTAACCAAAATGTTTGTACCCCCATAATATCCTGAAATAAATAAATAAATCTTTTCCAAAAAAAAAAAACAACAAAAAATAGCAGTAACCAAGATTAATATCTTTATGCTATATTTTTACAAATTAAGATTAATGCAAGAAAATTCATGATGAAGAAAAGCTCAACTCTCTGACTCCTATTCTGGGTGGAATGAGACTTTTGGGAATCCCTAGGTACTTAATATCTTCAGTTACCCAGGAAAAAGACTTGGGTTTACTCTGACAGCTTCTCCACTGGGTGCTTTGGCCTAATAAGGGCAATCTCAGCAGACACATTCTAATGCCCCTCGTCACAGCTGCACTGAATGGTAACAGAACTAACTGAATCCCCAAGTCCACACCACCCTCCATGTGCCCAATGTTGGTGCATCCCCCTCTTTAGTCTATGAAAATCTAGAAATTGGAACCAAGGAGCAGCCCAGCAACTGATCTATCATTTTGAGGAATTCGTGGGCCCCCAATCCTTTGAAAGTGGACCCAAAGACAGCTCACGGTAGAAAAGGAAGTACCTAGGGTGGTTTCCCTGATAGACCCTGACATTTCTGGATCGACTCTCAGCATGTCATTATCTTTCTGTGATGAAGAGGAGGATAAAAAGCTTTTTGTAAGGCTGTGCAAATGTTGGGTAACTTCTACAATGCTGGATTCTTTCGTTAATTCTGAATCACAAGCAAGGAAAAGGAAAAGAAGAGAGGAAATGGAGAGATGAGAAAAAGAGGAAAGAAAAAAGGTAAACAGGAAAAATTCATAAGGTATAAACTGACTAAAGGGAATGAATAAAAGATCCAGGTGGAATTTGCTTTCATTCAATGATTCCTGCATTCACCCCACAAACATTCACTGAGAGTCATCTACGCTCCAGTCACCTACCTGCTGGGCACAGCAGATACAAATGGATCTCAATGATCTTTGTGGAGCTTCAGGCTGACAGGCGGTTAGGACCCAAGATGGGCAGGGCTGTGACAAAGGTCAACATTGATGATGAGAGAGTCCTGGGAAGGAGCATTTAACCCTGCCAGGTCCACCTGTGATGAATCTGAGACACCACGTGGGAAGGGAAAAGGTGTCCCTGCTGCGCTGTAGCCCTGTGTGTTCAGAGCACGGCAGAGCGAGGTGAGGCTGGGGAGAAATCTGCATCCAGCATGATGGGAGTGAATAAGCAGATGGGAAGGGAACCGCGAATTCCTTGAGGGCAAGAACTAGGTCTTATTATCTCTCTATTTCCATTTCATAAGGTGTAATAGATAATCTATATGTTTTATTAAATCAATTTCTGAAGCTCAGGAATGGGCTGCTTTATTACAACGCCCACTAACACTCCCCAAGAACAAGGATTGTCCTATGTGCTTCTGCTGTGTCTGCCAGAACTGGGCATATGGCATGTGTTAAATCGCGACCCCTAAATTGCTTCGACCAGTGGCCAACACTGTACACTGCACACACATCAGCCACTCCTCTGTAGTTGCCTCCAAGGAAACCCCATTTGTTTCAAATATGGGGCAGCAAATGCCTTTGGAAGATGTGGGTCTCTCTCCCCTGTCTGGAGAAGGGGCCATGGTTCATCTCCTCTAAGTGTTTCTCTTTGTTGTGTGATTGGTTTAGAGGTGGCTATGAACCCAGAGCAGGAAAAGAAAACCTGAGTGGAATTCTCTTGAAGAATCCTGGAAAAATTTTT